AATGTATTAAACATATTCTAGTTTCAGTGAATGGAGTGTGCTATCCTTATGTTACAATGCAACTTGGGGAGACCTTTTGTGCTATATAAATCACTTTATTTTCACAGTCTGAAATCCATTCTTATTTCATATGGTTAATTTCTATTAAATTTAATTCATTACAAATGGATGCTGATTTTTCCACATTTCTGCCTATTTTCTGGCTCTGACAGATTATGTGTTTCACAATCAGGCTACAGGGTCAACAGGGGTTTGTTTCAGTGTTAGGTTCTGTCAGTCCAGAGGTGTTATCGTTATTCAAAAAACCAGGAGACAGCACAGCTATTTGAATCAGTTATTTGGTCTAAATTAGTGACATGCATTATCTCCTGTTGTAGTAAATCGTAAGTCCAAAGAGGAATATTGAAATCTAGATAAGCATCATAGATATATTACTGAATTATATAGAAGCACAGGTAAATAGATATATGGCTTCCTTTATTCTTCAGTTGGGGTTTATGTTCATTAATTTTCACACCCTGAAAGCTACAGTGCATGCTGTTATTCTTGCTTTCACAGACATGCAATTTGTTTCAAGCCAGGAGCAGTCCTGTCCTGGGGGTGCTGCCATGCAATCTCCTGGCTCTGCTAACTTAGACTACATATTTCCATCATCAAAGAGTGAAAGAGATGGCAACTGCTCTTTTCAGTGCAGTCAGTGCACACCTGGCCACCTTCCTAGATCTTTACAGAGATTTTCAGTGGCAAAGAGTGCCAATGAAAGATAAACCAAATCTTCCTTGTGGTGCAGTGCTAGGTTAATGTGGATGTCCTTTAAAGCTCTCTGTGTGGTTCGTTTCATTGTGCACAGAAATACTTACCTTATTGTTTTTGGAACACCTGGGTTTTTTCAGTGTTTTATCTGATGGACTGTGATGCCTGTAATAGCAATCTCTATGAATATTGTATTTATTGCCAGCTCAGACTAGTGGTTAGCTGCCGTTGCAGCAGAGGAAAGTGCAGCTCACTGAAATCAAAGACTTTTACTCCTTTCATCTGTGAGGAGATCTCATGGCTACTCTGGAAAGGAGATTAGGGAACTTCTAGGTGAACCAAAAAAATGATGGATTCAGTGATCCAAAAGGCAGGCATCCAATGGGTCAGCTCATATAGGAAGGAAACTTATACCCTTGCAAACGATGCCTTGGAGAGCAAGACATCCTGCAATGCTGAGGCAATGTAAACTGTAAACAATTCAAAGGCATAAAATTTCATTGCTTATTGCTATTCATTTTCACTGTTAATAGATGAAACAGGATTAGGTGGAAATATACATTGATAGATTTATAAGAAAGGCCTCAGACTTACAAATGCTGTCTTGCAAACCAGCTTCTATCTAGCGAGTGCTTTCTCTGACCAGAGCAGGGGATGTAGGGGCAAGCACTCAAGCCTTTGCCTCTGGAGCTTCCTGTGGCACTACAAGAAGACTGGACATGTGCTCCAGGAAAAGCTGTGGATGAAGGATGTTCTTCTAATTCCACCAAGGTTCTGTTTTAATTTACGATTTTCTAAAGAATTCTTCCATTGGATAATTGATAATTGAGACATTGGAGAAGATCTTTTGTAAAGCCAACTCTAAGCAGAAGCTTACATCAGCTGATATAGAGCAATACAAAAAAACAAATTAACATTGTATTTAATAACAACATAACGGGATGTTCAGGGATAAAACAAGGCATTACTGAATGAGTTACTGAAAACTATACCATCCCAGCATTAGAACCATAAGGGGAAAAATGTAGTTTTATTAACAGAATGAAACAACTTCTCTGGAAATAAAATACAGTCAAACCTCAAAAATATTAGCAAAATTGCTGTTTTGGAGAAAAGAAAATCTAAAAGAGACATCGTTTTCTACAAAAGAAACTCCTAAAAATGTCAAGTATATAACTACAGAACTTTGAAGCAAGATCTGCTGACAAAAAGTCTTGTGAAGTGTTCTCAGGAAGTTAGTAATTAGAACTGGTTGGATAACTGCTATTTCAGGTTCATTTTAATTTTAAGACCTGAAACTGCTTTTTACTGAAAAATGAAAAGGCAAAGAATTGGTGTGACATGCAGATAAAATATGCCATCCCAACACAACTAGAATGTTTTATGCGAACTATTTAAAACTTTGGGATTTAAAAATTATTTCTAGTTTTACTTTTTTTTTTTTTTCCTGAGAAGAAGTGAACAGTGGTGATAGTGACATAGGTCTGCAGATTAACTTGAATCTGTGTTTGCATCAAAACTTTCCTCATCTGAAAGTTTAGGTTATTTCTACTCAACATAGTGGTTGACAGTACCAGAGGGAAGCGAATGAACAGGAAAAATACATATATTATGCTGTCCATTCCTTTCTTCCACATAGCAAAATAAATATGTTTCAGAGTTAGGAGAAGTTGCACAAGCTATATAGGATTGGGAAAGAACAATTCCCAGCCAGAGCAATCCCTCAAGAACTGCTGAAAGCAGACCACCTACACATCATTTCTGACAAAGAAGGAAAAAGAGATTTTTTTTAGTGCTACAGCAGAAAGAAAAAAGAGTATTAGAAGCAAAAGATCTGTATGGCTGAATTAGTTGCAGAGATTCTTTTGGAAAACTGTTTCTCCTGAACTACAGGTGATCTACTCAGCTTTGCACGTACTTCTCAATGGTCTTAGATGCATACAATGCCTTTTAATGAGTGGTGATGTGGGTACTGTGTTGATACTGCAAACCAGTCGAATACAGCTTGCTGGAGTGGAGAATAGATCAATGGAAAGCTACTAATGAAACAACTGTATTAACTTAGATGCTTCTCCACAAGATATGAGTTTAAGTCACTTTACTCCTGTGCCCAAAATATTCTTCATAAAACTGAAAAGAAGAAAGAACTGTCTGAGAGATATCACTGTTCCTCTCAACAAGTGCAACATGTAATCTAAACTTCTTAGTTACAGAAGGAGAACATGAGGGATGATTTAGGAAGTGTCCAAATTCTTCCAGCTAAAATCTTCTGGCAGCTTTAGCAATGACAGGCAGACCTGATAAAGCAGAAATGTATTGGATTTTAAGCCTAACAAGGATGAGCACTTGTAAACACCATTTGCAAGATGTCTAAACCACGGATATTGCAGAATATGGCCCTGGTTCTGTACCAAAACAGAATTTCTTGTTTCATTCTCATAAAAGTAGTCAACTCTAAATCATTTCTGAATGTAATAAATACAGTACAAATAAAAATAGCACCTGGCACTTCCACGGATAATTGAAAGAATTTAGCATGCGGCATAATGGTATTTTTGTGACACTCTTTCAGGCAAACAAAGCAGCATAACTCGCAACTTGCCCAGAAAATAAATGGTAGGGTTGCCAAGAAGTGGTTACTATTGCTAGGGATACAAATGATAGACAAATTATTTTCTGGGAGCTCCTAGATTATGGTTGCTAAAATATGAGTTTGATGTAATGTTATATTCATACTTACTGAAATAAAAAGAATTTGATTCAGGGTGCAAGTGGGAGAAAATGCTGTTTCATCATCTCACAAGTGTCTGGAGGCCAAGCAAGAAAGCAAATTTTGCCACATATTTGTATGCTAACTCACACAGAAGGACTTGCACCAAACTTCTTGACCTCTAGGTCTCAAATAGGACCTCTTCCTATGCTTTCTTGTGATTTTGAAGTCTGTTGATACACTAGCAACTTTTAAAAATAATTGACATAAGCAGTTCAGTGCTGTGATACATTTTAATGCTAGCTCTAGGCCTCAGTTCATGTGTCTCCTTGTTCTGTCAAAGTAAAGAGATATTTGGCAAGAGCTGTCCACATTCTGTAGTGTGATAGATCATCCTCACAGTGTGTTTTTCAACAGTCAGGCAATATCATGATGATATATATTTAAGCATGTTTATAAGTTTAGAAGAAGATTCCACCAGTCTTGCAGATGTCAAGGATAACTCACACTGACATGGCTGGGTTAAGAAGCCCTCTGGGGCTCAAGTCACAATTAATCCTCTTTGTACATTAGATGGTTTTGTGTTTCCTTTGGGATACTTTGAGCTGTGTCTTGAGGTGTAGACTTTCTGCTTAGTGTAGCTATTGATATACAAATGCATCCACATACGTTTTTCAGCCATAATGCTGGTATGTGCTGTTGATAGATCTTGGCAGCTGGGTATACAGGTCATAGAATATGTATGTGTCAGACCTACTTGAAGAAATAACCCATGTGCAGGTGAAAAGGAAATGTGTTTTAAATAAGCAAATTCAATCTACTATTCAAGTTTCTTTTTACAAAATTGATGTATGTGCGATATCTAGTTACATGTATATAACATACATGGGCACAGTATATATATATATGGGTATGTATGAGGTATAAAAAGAAGTATGTTTCAAAATCAGGCCTTTTAATCACTTGCTGGAAGGGCAGGATGGTTTTCATTACTTTGCAACACAGATGTCTCTGAGCTGGTTGAATTAAGCTCCCTTTATTGTCAATGGAGATTTCAGTCAATGTAGTCAAGACTGCATGGCACCATTCATCTCGTCTTAAAAAAAGTCACTTAAAGCAGGCTGGATCAGCTTGGTGCTAGAAATGCCTGTTTCTCTTAATTGACTAAAGAAGGAGTCTCCAGTGATGAGCTCAGTTGTGTCTAAAATTAGACAGGAGGAATCCCAGCCATATTGCTGACTGTGTTGCAGATTGCTGACTAAAATCTCCCATACGCAGTACAAATTTTAGGTTTAATTTTCTGCCTGTTGAATAGCTATTTGTGCATGTGTTAAACAAGGCTAACTCACTACTAATTTTAAACAGGATTCTTTTTCAATTAAAAAAAATGCTCCTTTGTTGCATTCAGTTCCTGTGAAAGGTGAAAGGCACTACAAAGAATTGGTCCCACTGGCTCTCGTATGGGACATCAGCTGTGAAATAAGTATTTAACATGTAATTTGCATTGGTTCCTGACCAGTATCTTGTATTTTGCCAGTACCCAACCATCGGTGCTATGTTGGCAATGGCACAGAGTACAGAGGTACGGCAAAGACAACCATTTCTGGACACAGCTGCTTGCCTTGGAATTCAGACTTGCTGTACCAAGAGCTTCATGTTGACAGTGTTGAGAAAGCAGTACAGCTTGGCTTGGGGCCGTTCTCTTATTGCAGGTGAGAAAAGTTCTCCTTTGCCCTGTGTTTGTAAGTCAAGAGAAGTATGTATTGTGGAAGTGAGAAGGGCAGGAATCTCAAAGCAGGTGTTACCCCTGCCAGGGAAAAGCTAGACTGACTTAACAGCCTGACACAGGGCATGCAATTGTACAGAATACAAGATCTAGTAGATAGGCTAAATCAAGGGTCTTTCAAGAGAAGCTCAGATACAAAATAATGTTGGAAATTCCAGGTCATTCCCCCCCCCCCCCCAAGGATTTTTATTTTATTTTTCTCAAGCAAGACCATAGCGCAAAACCTTTGAAATTGTTCATAAATGACTATGCAAAAGGGAAAAGAAATGCAGTAGCCAAATTGAAATGGTTAACCTTTTATTTCTAATTCTGATATTGTGAAACAAGTAACATAAAGGAAAACATTTTCAAAAGTTAAAAGTTATTTGAAAATGAAAAATCAAAGCGCTGTATTTCAGTAATGTCGAAATGGGATGTCAAAATTCTTTCCTGGTTTTCTTCCAAACCAAATCTATTGCCAAATAAGATTTGACAGCGTTTCAATTTTGATGGACCCATGTATCAATAAACTGCATTTCTGATGAAGTTTTCTGTTCAGCTGTAATGAAAATAGCTTGTGGTAGGTAGGTTCGTGCTTTCTCCTCAGTGACATTATGTTCCCCCTGTCTCTGAGATCTTCAATGTATATCCACAAATAAAGGAAATGCTCCAGTTTAGATAGAATAGTGGAAATGATCAAATGCTGGGAATGGCAAACTTTAGATGATTCTCCTTAAATTATTGGTTCATGTCTAGATTTTGGTGATATGGGATGGGGTTCTTTTTATTGTGTATTCCCCCCCCCATCTGGAAGTTAGACCAGTATATCTGGAAAATCAGTACTGCACTTCCTAGTTTGTTTGATGAAAAAAAGCATGTATGCATGCTGAAAGTAGCTCTTCTTCTCCTTAAAACACAAAATGAAAATAAGCAGCTCCTACACCCTCCCTTAGCCCAGATCGGCTTCTATTCCAAGGCTTGGTCCCAATCCAAGCACTTAGGTATGAGATTCATAGTGTCCCAGCACTGTATGGCAATTTACCAGGCACATATTTTATGCTTTGATAAAACTTGATCCCTTTGATTTGCATCATTTAAGCATAATATTCACTTGCAGATTTGAAATGCAGAGAACAAAATGGTGTAGGAGCTGATGTGTTCATGTTCTGCAGAGCTGAGAAAAAAGCTTTTCACTTTTTTTGTCAGCTTGTTATAATTTCTGGGGATATCTCTGCTGCACTATATAATCCTGCAGATATCTTCTTCTTCAAACAGTCTAATTTAGAAACATTGTTGGTGGAAGATGACTCAACCTGTGTTGCTGCTTCAGTTCTGAGAATTTGAAAGGGCTTTAATCTTTTTCTGAAAAGCAGTTATATTAAAAAAAAATATATTGAAGAACCTTACAATAATAGACAGTGCTTCTGATAAATCCAGCTGAAATTAGCATTACTGTTTATCTGGAGCCCTGAAGTGCCTTGTCTATTTTTCTTGCTCTACTGAACATCTTTCTGCACCTTCAAAGTTTACCTATATTCTTGGAGGAGTAAATTGGGCAAATTTCTGGTTACTTATAAAGCATTGATAAAGACAATTAGGCTGTACCAGGGAGAAACTATATTGAAAAAATATAGTTTCTGTTTTAAAAAAAAACTTGTTTAATACCAAGGTAACAAAGGGCTAAACTGATATTCCTTTTATTTCTTTTTCTTTTTGAGGAACATAACATTTTCATTTCCTCAGACTCTCCAGGGAATGTGAATCTGAGCTTCCCAAATTCGTCTGTGCTAGCTATTCTTGTGATGGATTTTCTATGAATCTACCTGTGTTGGAATTTCCTTGCTTAATAAAATCACCTAAAAAAAGGAACCTCTCCCATGGGATTTAGTCCTGAAAATAGATGAGCTGCTATCTGTTAAAACACTTCAGTGTGGGCTGTATTTAAACCATGTGAACATGTTCATGCATCCAAATACTTGTAGGCAAATTTTACAGGTGTTTAGTCATGTGTCTGTACTTCAGGTCCTAGAGAACTGTAGACTGGGTTGCCGGTAAGCATGATGAACTCTACTGAAAGGCTGCATTTAGGGCTTAGCAGCTGCTTCAGCACTTCATCAGGTGGCTCAAAACCTGAGAGTCCTGTCAGTCCTCTTCATGGTGCAAGAGGAAAAAGCAGAAAGCCTCTGGGAAGCCTGGAACAATGCTGTGTTTAATGCTTGTAATTTACTATCTCCCTGAATTAATTAGAAATCCAGATGATGATGAGAAGCCATGGTGCTACATCATGAAGGACAACAGTTTGTCTTGGGAGTATTGTGATATTCCATCCTGTGGTATGTAAAAGCTCTCTTAAAACCCATGCTATGAATGCATGAAGAAAGGTTAATTGATACTAGAAAAAGCTTCCACTGTATAATTTTGAATGTTCTACTGTTTCCAGGAGTGTTGAATATTTTATTGCTTGCATTAAATCCAATGGCAACAACAGGTTTCTCTTGCATTTTTTTGAGCTGTGATTTTTGTCCTGAAACAATAGTGGTGTCACACTATTGCTTTCGGTCACAATTATCCCAATATCACCAACTTTTCTGCTAGAACATGCAAGACCACAGAAATGATTAATGCTTTGGTACAAATTGTCATCACTCAGGGAATTACAGGCCGAGAGAAGTGAATGGGCCTCTGTAAGCAAATTGAAGGACTGGAGCCTGAAGCCATAATGAGGCATAGCGTTTAATTCCAAAACCTGAGGATTCTGCTCTTCCCTAAACTATTAGTTAGTTGTCGTTAATGTTGTAGCTGACTTTCAGAACATAGTTGTAATCTGAAACAGAAGTTTATAAAGTACATCTTTTTATTTTCCTTCTTTGGTTCTAATGTATTCAGTAGGCAATACTAACACAAGCGTCCTAGTCTTTGCGATTGCAATGGCAAAGCCCAGTGCAGAATCGACAAATGAAGATGTGATGTACCATGCATTCTGTTGTGCCTCCTCGGGTAGTGAAGGTTGTATATCTATGGGTAAATGAAACAGTGTCTGGGAACTTTCACAGCATTTGTTTTACTGTAGTACAGGCATAGCCAGCGTTGGGAATAGACATAGCTTTCAGTCTTGCAAGTCGCATGAATGAGATTCAGTTGTACGTGAATGTTTAATGATAATTTAACAAACCTCCCATTTTAAGATGCTTATAAAATTTCCAGTCCTTTATAGTCTGATGCCATATCCCTTTATGTCTCAGCAAGCAGGGAAAGGAAGCCACTAGTTCCAGACAATGTAGATAGTTTTGCAGTTACCAGAAGACCATGTGGGAGAAGACACAAAAAAAGAAGTTTTGTGAGACCTAGGATTGTTGGGGGATCTTCGTCCCTGCCTGGATCTCATCCCTGGGCAGCAGCTATATATATTGGAGAGAGTTTCTGCGGTGGAAGCCTTATTCAGACTTGCTGGGTTGTGTCAGCAGCACACTGCTTTGCTAACAGGTAAACTCACCCATTAACATGACTGTAGGTCCTCTCCTCCTCAGAGTCTGCTTGTGACTCACAACAAACCCAAACAGAAATAAGTAAGAAAGAAGATGAGGTTATAAAAGACCAATGTTTCAAAAAGAGTTTCTGGCAATTTGGTTGCCTTTTATGAGCTAAGAAATAGCTTAGAGTCCTATTATCGCATAAGCCCATATCTTGCTCCTTAAGAAGTCTTAAAGTGACTAAATGACCTGACTGATGGAATAAGGTAATGCAGAGCAGGACATAGAATGGGAGCTTGCAAGTGCAGGAGTCTGCATGGAGATATATCTAATTCTCTTCTCAGTTACTTTTTTGGGTGTTTATATCTGCTTTGAGATATAATAGAGATGACTGCTCACTGCTGTGGCTGTGATGGCCAAGCACTGATTTATTCAAGACAATACTGTTGGTTGACACAGATAGAGTGGGCTGAGCCAAAGGGAAGAACTGAACTGTTAAATCTTTGAGGCTGATTTCCTTGAGAGGTGTTTTGTGGGGCTTTTTCATCTATTATTTTTTTTTGGTCTCATGTGGGACACTGGAGAGAGTATTGACCACAGGATGCTCTTACTTTATTCTAAATATTGCACTTTATACGATTGCTGAACAGTTTTTCTGATTTCCGTATAAGCACATAGATGGGAAAAAACATTACATCATTTCATACCCGTTGTTCCTTTGCATAGTAAAGAAGCCAAGAGAAATGGAAAACCTTGTGCCAGAATGCATACACTGATAGCTTGTAGAGCTAATAATACCATTGTGAATGCTGTACTGAAGCATTTGGTTCTCGAGCCACAACGCATTTGTTTTTCAAATGTTGTGAAATAGCTACTAACTTTGGCAGCTATTCAGGACATTTCCACCCACTTCCAGCTGGTGGTTTGGTACATACAGATTTTCCATAATTGCTGCATTGTAATTTGCACTCTTTCTTACGTTTAGTACCTCTGTTAGCCACAGTTGCAACTGGTTTCCGCTAGGCGACAATAGATACCTGCGCAGATAACTTCTTTTTTGTTTTGCTTTGTTTCCTTTTCTGTACCCACTCCTGTTTCATTTCTTTTTTCCCTGAATGAACTATCTTTCAGTCATAGTAGAACCATTCAGTGCCTTTAAAATCTCTTCTAAATACTGTTCCAGGAATCACTTCTTTTTATAGGCCCCAAAATCTGATTTCTGAGCGGGTTGGTTTGCCACTGTAAGAATACTGAGAAAATCCTGGCCTTTTATATAGATTGAAGAAAGTTCTGTTGTCCTCTTGTTTTCCAGTTGTAAAAGAATGAACTTTGAATTTTCCTTTTTTAAAAGAATTATAAGCATAGTGACTGTCGCAAGGTAGCTGGCGGCTGAATGTGCTGCACTTAGACAGAATCTCTTTCCTCTTAAGTATGTTATTGTTGACCATTGCTTCATGCTCAGCACTGGAGAAAAGTCCACAGTTCTTTTGTAGTTTTGTATCTGATGGACACTTGCTGATGCACAGGAGTACAACGAGGGCAGCTGCAGTGATGTTAGCCACTCTGCATTTGTGTATGACGCGTGACAGCAGGTATTTTCTACTCCTGCACTGGAGAGCAAAACATGAGTGCTCCAGTGTTCAAGACACTTGCTAAATAAATTCATTTCAGACTTGTGCACATGAATATTAAATTAGTTCTAAAAGAAGAGTAAATTTTAATTCTGTTGCTTTCAAAGCTAGAGAATTAAGTGCTTTTCCTGAACAGCACTGTTTTCATCCTGATTATTCCCAAATGCCCCTTTCTTCCCAACTGTTGTACTGGTTCTCACTAGTTTTCTGTCCTATGACACTGGATATGAAAGGACTGTGATCTTTTTAAGGTAAACAATCGATGGCTAAAAAAGATGGTGTGAATTGCAAAAACTGCATTCACCTCCAAGTGTGGTTTTCCTCATCAGATCAGTGTACTGTCGGAACCTTCATCCACCAAGATGATTCTTATTCTAGACAGGAGATTTAACACAGATCAATCTAATCTCAGAGCAGAAGTGGTGATAGCTCTTAGGTGGAAGCTGCCCAGATGTTCCTGAACTGTCAATTTGTGAACGCTTTTCAAATCTTGACACATGCCTGTGATATTTTTGAGGGCTTGGTTTCCCAGAGAAATGAGGCATCCACCCTGCCTCATCTTCTGGTCCCCATTCCTTCCCCAGTAATTTTTGTACATAACGGCAATATCTGGCCAAAGTTGTCTCAGTTAGGTTTCTAGAACAAGAAGTGTTTATAGCCCTCAAAGGTGCTTGTTAGCCAGACAGCAGCTGGGCAACAGAACCTCTGATTGCCTTTTCCTTCTGTCAAGGAGCAACAGCCTTTAATTAGATTAATCTGGACACACAGAGCCTGGGACTCACTGTAACATGAATTATCTTTTTCCTAGCCTCAGCAGGTAGGAAGCCTGGGAAACAGGTCAAGGCATTATGAGAGGGCAAATAATGGATGTGATGGGGGGCTGAGGTTATAACAGTTCAAGGGGTATGCAGCCATTGGAAAATAGTTTTCATTTGTCTTGCTAATCACAGAACTGCTTGTTCTCTTTTCTATTACAGTCCACTAAAATCCACTATTACAGTAGTTCTGGGTCAACATATATTTAATAAAACAACCGATGTAACACAAACATTTGAAATAGAGAAATACATCTTGCATCCTCAGTATTCTGTGTTCGACCCTACTGAGCATGATATTGGTGAGTATTTTTGTCTCACAATTTTATTTTCTATTTACTCGACTTGTTTTAAGTTTAGTTGATTTGTCAAAAAACTGCCTTCATAGTGGAAAAATCATAGAATCGTAGAGTAGTTTGGGTTGGAAGGGACCTTAAAGATCATTTAGTTCCAATCCCCACCCCCGGCTATGGGCAAGGACAAATCATAGCTATTAAGAGAAGCTTTCAAGAGCAGGGGTTCTTAGTTCTACCAGAGTTATAACAGCATCTGAAAGCAAGACAAATTCAGATGAGAAATAAATTGCAATTTTTAACTAATTATGATAATTAGCTTTTGGAGCAATTTACCTAGATACATGGCAGATTCATCATCACTTCAAGTCTTTGTGCGATTAGGCATTTTTTCAGCTGAACCAGAAACTGTGGGCTTGATGCAGGAATTGCTTGGTAAAATTCTATTGTCTGTATTGTATAGAGGATCTGACTAGATGAATATAATAACCCCATCTGCTCTGAAAATCTGTGTTAGTAAGAGTCATTTTTTACACTGAGAGAGATTTAAAAATCAGCTGTCTTATCAGTCAAAAGTTAAATGCCCTTCTGATTGACCTTATAATATTAGTCAGAATGAGAATAGATCAGCAACTTGCTTCTTATCTTCTGATCTGCTCTTGTGGAAGGTGGTACCTCACCCCAGGGTGTCAAGCTGTATGAGCACTTTGTCTATGAGACTACAGCATTGGGGATGTTTTAGGTGAAGCATGGACTGGCTTTTTTGCTCCTGGGTGGTGAATATTTTTTACTCTGTAGCAAAAAGCATTCAGATTCTGTGTTGGTGGGAGCTGTGTCACAATGTACCACGAGATGAACTGGATGTGGGGTATTACCCTGCTCTGAGATATCCTGGTGCAAACCATTGTTGGTACTTTGAGATCTCCTAACTTTTGAAATTACATTGAAATTTGGCATGCCTCACTAATGTGCAGTATCCAAATCTAGGGTCAGCTGAGCATGGAGTGCCTAAGATGAGCCCAATTGCAAAAAAAACAAGCAGGTAGAAATTGGGGGAGTGTGAGGGGAAGATGTGGAAGCATGTTGTGCCCTGTCAGTGGTTTCTACTGATACAGCAGAAGAGGTATTTCCTGCTTAAAATGCTTTTCTAAAAGAAACAACTACCGTATGAGTGTTTGCTGGGAATTTCAGGGGATTTGGGAGCAGGCAGAGTTGGTGGGGAAGAGGAGGTAGGTGAGGAAGAAAAAGCTGCTGAGTATTTGAACATGGTTTTTGTGGGCTTCTCAGCTTGTGAGATGCTCTTTATGTGTTCCACAATGGCCAAAAATTGTAGTCAGTAGGGAAATAAGACTAATAGGCGTATCCATCTCATAGCTCTGTCCTCTTTACCTAGTGTGCCTAAACACAACATGCTGCTCTTGTTACACCAAATACAATGACCCCTCTGTTGCTCTACAGCCAAATGCAGGGGATTTGCTGCAGGGGAACCAATATTTCTCCTATTTTTTGACATCTTTCAGTACCAGGCTCATGATGCTGCACAACTCTGCATTTACAGTTTTCAGCCCCATGGAGTGATAGTAGAAGTTGTGTAGGTTGTGTAACTCTTTGTAGCTTTCAGAAGCTTGGGTTTGAAATATCCTGATTTTTCTATTCCTTAATTTTCAAGATGTTGAATTTTGCTGAACTTCTTGATAACAGAGCATTAAATACACCGGCTCTTGCAGTAATTATTTTTCAAATCAAATTGGAATTAGGCAGGTGGCCAGACTTTTAGAAGCAGCGAGCACTTGCACATCCCACTTATTTCAGCTGAAAGTTGTGGATATGTCACTGTTATTTAACTTTAAGGTGGGAGGAGACATATGTATTTTCTATCTTCTCTACAAAGGCAGTGAAGCAAAATCTGTTCAGTGAGCACAGCATAAAATAAATATTCCCACAAGGGGAGTAGCTGAATCTTTCAGCCTTCAATTTGTGGTGAAATAAGGTGCTGTTGAGATGAGCCTGTCTGTCTTTGATTGAAATATCTTAATTAAGAGAGGCTTAGGGGATAATTAAAGTTGTATCTGAGACCCATTGCTGCCAATCCCGTTAAAGAAAGGGAACAATCACTTTATTCCTCCTATATTTTCTGTTCTGCAGCTTTGATTAAGCTGAAGAAGAATGGCCAACGTTGTGCAGTCAAGTCCCAGTTTGTTCAGCCCATCTGCTTGCCAGAAAGTAGCACTGTTTTCCCTGATCAGTTCAAATGTCAGATTTCTGGATGGGGACACAGGCATGAGAGTGAGTAAAACAAGAGCTGGTGTCTGTGTAAAAAAATTATGATGACTAAAAAATAATGCTGGAGTATGTGTTATATGACTGATAGTTTTGTGAAATATTTTCCAAGAGACTTCTGGTGGGAATCTTCCTACATACCTTTCGATGTTTACAACATTTGCTTTTGAAATAGTCACCCTGAACTTCCTTTGTAGTTCCTGGAATTTGGAGTGTGGTTCCTTTGGCCAAATGTTTGTGTTTATTTTAGGATGAGATGAGCTATGAGCTAGCTAGATCTCCATGGACTGGGAGGGGAGCAAGTGGTTAAGTTATAAGTCCAAAGAATTGACATGTTAGTTGAATGTATCCTACCTCTGGTTTCTCAAGGTAGATACCAAAAACTGCAAACCAAACACAGTCAGCATACTAGGTCTGTAATGGAGATCTTTACCTTTGCCAGTAATGAACTTTGGAAACATCTACAAGAGAGGGCCAGGCAGACTTTGGACTAAGAAGTGCTTACACTCAGCTTGAGAAAGGTGGAAAAATACATCCTATCCATCCAGATGAGGAATTCCAGGATCATGAACCTCCTGCTTGGCTGTGTTGCTTTGATGTGCAGATGGCAGAAATTGATGTAGACAGATGAGAAAGATGGGGGAGTTGGCTGCCTAATTTTGGTTAGAGATTTAGTATGAGCAAATGTTGTCTGATCTAAATGTGTACTGTAAAGGCAAAAAGAGGTAATGGAACTTTTAATAAATTGATGATTTAATATCACATCTGGAAGGAGGAGAAGACAGGAGTTCTCGGAGTCTGTTCATGAGTCTCTAGAAAACGAGAGAACATGAAGTGGATTAATGACTTGACATGGAATACCAGTATTTTAAAGAGCATGGAGTCTGACTGAAGGAGCAGAAAGTGATCTGATCATTAGAAAAATAATTATCTTTTAAAGGGATCCACCACACAATATAACTGGGATGTGCTAACTGTGTTTATATGTTCTATTGTGCAGTATGTTTCCATGTCATGCTCTTCACATTCAATAAAAAATGACTTTCTTTTCCTCTCTGGGTTATTTTTTTCAAGATGTATCTGGTTATTCAGATATCCTGCAAGAAACACTGATTCCAATCATTCCCGAGGAAAAGTGCAGAAATCCTGAAATTTATGGAACAGAAATCACTGAAAATATGTTCTGTGCTGGCTACTTTGATAGCAAATCTGATGCTTGTCAGGTAATGCTGTAAGTTTTCTCTGCAGATAATAGAAATGTATATTATTGCCAGAAATGTTGCAGTGATACAGTGCTCACTTTTGACATTAAAGTGCTCCCAAAGAACAGAAAGTTTCCTAAAGAAAAGACAACTTATGTGACTGCACCACCTTGCTTCCATCTTTGGTTTGTAATCTACTAAGTGTCAATTAAGTTCTACAGAAGGGCAAGACCTCCAGGGTGTTATATTCCTCCTACCTTCATAAAAGGTCATGGCTACACACTGGAGAGTGAGTTGCTTTAACCCCTGGCTGAGCTTGCAGTGGGATGGCAATGGTTTGCTGAGCAGCTGGCAGGGAAGTTGTGGGAGGCCAAGCAGCATGAACCTGTGTGGAGCCAAATCCCTGAGCTGCTTCTGCCTCTTACCTGAATAGAAATAAGGAAACCTGAGCAGGAGGTGCAGAGCAGTGGTGGTGTTTGGAGGAGGAAGGAGCTGAGGTTAGTATTTAATGAGGCAGGATTTAATGGCATAGAGTATCAGTCAGTTGGAAACGGTGTTTCATGACTTCAGTCCTTCATGGAATGACCTCATGGTCTTACTGCTTTGCATGACTTTTTGAATTATGTCACACCTTGGCTCCGAATAAGAGTGCAGAATTGTTGTGGTGATAGATGAAACTATTTTTAAATGAAGGATCAGATTAGTCCTTACATAAACCTTAAGGTTTTACCTAGAGTTCATTTTGAAGGTTATTCTCTTATTAAAATAAATGTGGCAACAGGCAGCACATAGCTAATAGATGGCAGTGAGATTATGCAAAGCAAATAATATAATGTATGCTTTGTGCTGGAACCCCTATAGACGTCATAAAATTGTCCAAAGAAAGGTGTCAAGACTGAAATAGCAGCAGCCAGCAGTGGCTCAATGCTTCCAAACCAGAGCTGGAATTGATTCTTGTTATTGCCTGCAAGCGTTCATACTCACCAGCGAACTAGAGGCTAGTTCTTCCTTGCCTTATCCAGGAAGTACAAATAAAAGATACAGCTCTGTACCTGATTCTCATTCCCTGCCCTGGAAAAACAGAGTTGATCAGGAATGAGAGGCAGAAAGAAGAAAGAAGAGGGAAGGAGAAAGGAGCTGCACAAGACAAGTAGTCTGGAGAGAGTTGTGAAGTCTGAGAAACAGTGATGAAGAGTCACTGATGTTGCTTAAGAACAGTGCTCATGACATGAAATCATTATAAGTGAATCAGTAATTCATTTTTTTTGGTGACAAGTCTGCTGTCAGGCTTTTTGTGTTCTAAGGACAAATAGCATAAACCTCTAATGTCGCAACAAATGTAGCTGACCTCTGAGTTTTCTTAATGTATGCTTAGTAAATTAAATTATAAACCATCTGTTGTGTATTAAAATACTTCAAGATCAAGCAAGAGCAAGTAGATAATGTGTTCTGCTTGGTTATTTTTAAAGATTTTATTGGTAGCTTTTTTGTTTAATCAGTGCACCAGATACCAAAATTGCCATCAATAAGATAATCTGTGGAGAAATAAGCAAGTTCTGAGAAGTAAATTGATCTCAGATGCACGATTTCATTTGTTGTCCCTCATTTACCACAGAAATGTCCTAGTATAAAGGCAACATAATTTCCTTACCTACTTTGCTCCCAAGGTGTTTCCTTTTTAAATAGGAAAAAAATGTATGTCTCCTTAGGCAAGTAGAGTGCTGGTTCCTTTCACCGCTACTGTTTAGTAAGTCACATTTTTCTTCTCATTTCCAAGACCTTCATTTCTGTAGAAGTCAACCTCAGCAGTGTGTCATCAAACATTGGTTTGGTCTTATTTTCAGTTTATGGTTTTAACAGCTAGGTAAATGCTCGGTAGCATCAAATTCAACAGATGCAAGAAACCCCATGTGCCACATAAACTTATAGCATCCCACAGTCACATGGAGAAGTGTGTATGTATGTGACACCTTTCTTTGAATGACGAAATCATGAAAACTTCCATGATATCTGAGAGGTGCAATAAAATGCACTGAGAAACTTGCCAAATATTCTCTGCCTTACATAATATGCAGGGCCCATATTACAACATAGCCTAAGCCTCAAAGACTTCATTACTCCCATTGAAAGTGACCTAAATCAAACATACTATTCAGTAGGTGTCTGAATCTAAAAACATTTCAGGTTTTTAAACAAAATCTGATATTTTGACACTTTCTTTCTATGTGGAATTAACCCCTCCACCATTATATTAGAGGTATGTCTAAAAAACCCCCTTTTTATAATGAAACTTCAGTAGACCACTACTTCCATATCTTCTTTTTAGTTAACATCTCACATTCAAACATTCTTAATTTAGGACTTTCCCAAACTGATCTTTTTCCTACTGCTTTTTATCGATTTAGATAATTTTTTATTCACTTTTAACACAGGGAGATTCTGGTGGACCTCTGGCCTGTGAGGAAAACGAAATCTCTTACCTCTATGGGATTATCAGCTGGGGAGATGGCTGTGGCAGAGTCAACAAGCCTGGAGTATACACACGAGTGACGAACTATGTAAAGTGGATTAATGAGAAAATAGCCCCTCGAAAAGCTAGTTGAACACTTGAATACGATAACCTTTGAAGCAGGGGTTAGGGGGTCTTTTGGTTTCATTAAAGTGGCATAAATATTGTACTATAAGTTACAGTATGGTAACTGTCATGGTAATTCTTAGCAATTCCAAACTGGTGCTAGAAATGAAATTCCCTCCCCTCAGAAGTGATCTCTTGAATTTCAGGGTGACAGACACCAGTAGATCAAGATGAAGGCGCTCCTCGGCTAGCTGCAACAAACCAGTTCTGGGGAAAAAACAGGGGGTTTAGGTTTTGATTCAACCAAACATGTAAGCATATTTTTATGTTCCACAAGCATAAGATCAGGATCCTGCTTCAGAGCTCTGCTGAATCTGATGTGCAATCTTCCAGCAAGGTTAATGCAATGCTCTCTGAGAACACAAGGCTTGCTGAATAATGTTGGGAGTCAGAGCACCTGATTTCAGGCCGATACAGTCAGGACCTTCTGCAGACTGTGAGCTGCTCCGTGCCCTGAGGACAGCAGTGGAACACTTCACCTTAATGATAAATGCCTAAATGTTTCATCAATTTGACAGTGTTTTGAAGCTGTCTTAGGTTTTGTATTAACAGGCTGTTCAACTGTTTAGGTAATTCAGAAAGGAGGTTGCTTTTAAAAGAGTTTTAAACTGGATGGCTGGGGGAGCAGCTCAGCATTTTCCTTGAGGATTTGGTGATCTCATAAACCTCAGGCTTTGCTGTCATGGTCTATGGAATTGTTATGGGAACAATCAAAGAAACTATTACAATATATAGCTACTGAGAGGCTGTGGATTCAGCTTTGTTAACAAAAAAAAGGCAGAAAATGATTCAATAAAAAAAATCTCATTGTATAAAGAATGGAAAACTGCAACTTTTATTTTTTATTATTATTATTAACACAGGGAACCTTTAGCCGGGTCAGATGTGTACATTTGGAAGTGTCAATGTGAACTGTATTTCTTCTGAAAATGAATGTTTTGAATTCTCCTGTTGTTTCAAGCAAAGCTCTGTTTTAAGATAGATAATTTTGGTGCCTAGTTACTCAGAGATATGTTTCATTTTGTAGTACTGGCAGCATCTTCATGGGTTCCTTAGTTGTGATAAATGATTTCTGCAGTTAAAAGAAACTTGGTAAGGAAAAATAACCAAAACCTGAATTTGTTTAAGTGCAAATGTATAACAAAGTTATCTAGATAAATGACGTAAACTGTTTAATAAAAGGTTTTACCCTCTGTTTCTTGGACTTAATCTGTTATGGATAAAGTTACAATTAGATCTTTGAATCCCTCTGTAGGTTGTTCAACAGCTTGCAAGCTGGTAGAAAAATTACACTTTTCTGTGCTGGAAGGCATCGGAAAAGCTCTGCATAAAGGATCCATTTCATCTGGTGGTGCTCCCAGTTTTATGCAAGCGTTGCACAAGTTTCCAGCACTTAGCTGTAAGTGCTTGGATGTGATTTTCAGCTGTGAATACCGCGAATGCTCAGACCAAAGTCTTCAGTTCATTTTTCTGAAGCACTAAGCACTAGCTTGAGAAAATGAGATCCACCTCTGGGGTCTTGATTCCAAAACAAGCTGAAGACTTGTTGTCTGGCTTTGCCTTCCTGGCCATTTGCAGTATGAGCCTGGCTTGCTTAACTCCATAAAATGAATGCAATTGTGCAACAAGACTAAACAGTACCTGCTGCTGAAAGACAAGTATTAAACCACCATGAAGGAACTATTTACTCTTCTTTGGAAAGGATTCATTTGGAACAGGTTTCCACAGAAAGCTTATGCCATTCTGGACATCCGTATCTGTTCTGTGACTTCAGCTTCACTTTGAGATTAATACCCATCCCCTGTACATGCTTTTAATCTGGCGTGTTATACGTATTCTCTCAGTCTTGCTGTAAGGAAGGCAGCTGTTTGATAGGAAAGGTGTTAGACTGGTGTTTCTGATACGTTGTGTAGAGCTTTTTAGTTGTCCCATTTTGAAAATCTATGCTGCTCATATCAGTACATGGCAACATCAATACAATCAATAACACTTATTTTTTTAAACATATTGAATATTCATAAGGTGAGACAGTCTATTTTCTGCCCTCAGAGGTCTAAATGATAAATCTTCAGTCAACACTGTCATACTTTGAATGCATTAAAATTAATTTGTGGCATTGATTTGGTGGGACTAAAGCATTTAAGCATCTGGTGTACAGCAACTAACAGTGTATTAAACATTAAAGCCAGCCTAGGGGTGGCAAGTAAACATCTAGGTGAAGCAAGAGGTCCTTGCTTGAGCTCTTACACCCCTGACATTGACCACATTCCTATGGGGCACTCCAGCACCTTCTGCCTCCTGGCTTTCGGTGGAGCATTACCCCATAGAAACTTAATCTCTGTATTTTTCTCTTCCCTTTGAGTGTTTATAGCTTTGGTTAAAATGAAAATCCAACCTAAATTTCCTAGTGAAATTTTATCTGGTATTTTTCCTAACACACTGAAATTGAATTTGAATGCAAAGCCAGTTGAACAAACACCTCCCTAATTCATTATGAAACACACTTAAAAATGGTTTTATTAAATTATATGTTATTCCCTGCAAACTGACCGACTCAAAGGGAAGAAATAAATCCAAACATCTAAACCCCCTTCTATTATGCTATTGAAAGAAAAATGTGCTGTATAAAAAAAAGCTGAAGAAATAATTACCATCAAATAAGATGCAGTAGGAGTATTTTTAGAATAATGGACTCTAATTAGTCCATTGCTGGTTGAAATAAATCCGAGGACATCATTAACACATCTTATTCTATTAATTGTAGCTGCTCCGGGTTTGGTGTAAGTGGGTTGTTATCTTGTGACAATTGCGTTGCAAAGAAAAGGGGGGGAAAAAGCGAGTATTTTTATCCGGGGTAGTTGGCTGCATGTCTTCTGGGAGGTGAGAGGAGCAGTAATTACGGGTTTGGAAAGAGGAATTTGGGCACTGTAAGAGGGGTGGGGGAAAAGGGGTGTTTCTGCCCGCCGGCGCCAGGCCCCGCTCCGCTTAGCCAGAGGGCGCATAGATCCGGTCCGGGCTTTCCTACCGCCCCCAGCTGCCGGGCTGCTCAGCGGTCAACGGCAAAGCCCGGAGCGGGGTTAGGGCGAAGGAGTGGGGTCGGCGCCTTCCCAGGGTCGCACCCGAGGATGTCGGCGGGGCGGCCGTCGAGGGGCTGTGGAGCTTTGGGTGCGCCCCTTGTACTTCCCTCTACTGACACCCTGCAGGAAAAATAGTCATAATTAATTAACCCCCAACATCGCAATACAATACATGAATAAAGAATCAGGGAAAAGCTTCCCGGGACCCCCTCTCCCTTCAGCCAGAAGCCTCCCCGTCCCCTGCCCGCCCCACTGCCCGGTGGGGCCGGGGGCGCCGAGGAGGGCAGGGCAGCGCTGGCCGTTCGCCCGCGTCGCTCCCTGTGCCTGTGCGGGGACCTAATAAAGCTATTTTGAAAGTGACCCCTGGTCCAGAGCGCGGGGAGGGAGCAGCGAGCCGGGCGCAGCTGTCCGGAATCATGACTGAAGATGACGGATTCCGTGCTGGTGGAGGGTCACGTCAAGTTGAGAGATGGAAAAAAGGTCCCTGCTCGCAGCGCCCCTTCGGCCCGGCCCCGCGGCGGGTTGGGGCCGGGGGTCCCCCACCGGCAACCCTCTCCCCAGGAAGGGAGAGAGCCCTCTCTCCCCTCCTCCGGCCCTGGCTAACCCTCTCCTTTTGCCTCTCGTTACAGTGGAAGAGTAGGTGGCTGGTGCTGCGCAAGCCCTCCCCGGTGGCAGGTAAGAGGGGGCCCGTCCCGGGGGAGGGAAGGCAGGTGCCGGGGTGTCCCTCCCTCCCCCGCCCGCGGTTGGGGGTTCCAAGGGCAGGGAATTCACAGCGCTCCCTTCGAGGTTCGCAGCCGCCGGAGATCACCCTTGACAGGGCTCCCCTCAAGCCGTCGTTGCTCTTTCCTCTTGTTTTTTGTCTTATTTAATCAGGAGAGCGGGCAGTAAACTATCTGGCAACGAACCAGGCGGACAGAAATAGGAGGCGGCTACTGCCGGAGCCCCCCGGAGTCACCGCGGCCAGTGCCCGGTGTAACGTTGTCCCTTGGGCTGCCCGTGGTGCCTGGGTGTCGGGTGTGAGTAGTTTAATACCAGGCGCTGACTAAAACCAGAGGGAAAGGTGACTTCTCAAGGCACAGCTCTTTGGTTTTGGATCCCGTTTATTCTTCAGGGTGATTGGTGGCTGTAAAAAAAGCTGGCATTGTAAGCTCGGTAGGTATTTTTGATCAGTGTTTTGACATAAAATATCACTTCGATTTAAAAATAAAATGACATTTTGAATTAAAAAAAAAAAAAAAGAGAAAAAAAAAATCACTTCCCTGCTTCTGAAGGGGAAATTGAAAATGTTATTCAAAGCCGGCATTTTACTGCTGGAGAAGCAAAAGTAGGTTTCAGGTTTCCCTAACTGTTCCTAACAGAGAACACATTTGGGCCTGAAAGTATATATTTTCCAAATAGAAAATGTGAATCTGCATTGCTGCAGAATGGATTAAGGTGTCTTTTCTAGGATGTTGCTGGTAGGCTAAAGATTTCTTAGTAATTGAAGGTCTTCAGATCTAACTTGCTGTACTTGAGTTGTTAGTTGTGTGTTAGTGTCTTAAATGCCTGTGTCTTAACCAGCTTTGTTAAACTTCCCTGCATCTGTAGATCCTAGAGCTAGTATCTAGACATGCGAACGTGGGCCTGGATTTCTGAGTAAGACAAGTTTGAAGGGCGAAAATGAGGGAATTTGCTTTGAAAACTTACTGGCTGATCCTGTGGCTTATTCCTCAAGAACAGTATTTTATTCTAGCTAAATTATCCAGGTTTACCAGAAAAAGCCCCCAGTGATTTGCTTCTCGTGGTCTATAAACCATAGCTGTCCTTTCTTCAGACACACAACTGTATTGCAGAATGCTTGACTCTCATCATTGCAGCTGTTTTTGCTAACAGGTGGATGAAAACAGTTGTTAGGCAATGCAGAGCTCTGCTTTCGCTAGAAGAGGGTTCAGTCTTTCGGTCATTTTTCACCTCTTTGGAGATTCGTGCATCCTTTGTTGGGCTGAGGGTGCAGGGCACCTCGTCAGGGCTTGGAGCACCACACCCCAGCGTTCATCAGATGGTGCACAGGGGCTTTTTCCTTATGGTATGTAGGGGAGCGTAAGCTGTGGGTGGAGCAGCTTCCATACTGATTGTTAATTGCACAACCAAGTGCTATGTGATAGGAAGGGGGAAGAGGAGAGCTCTTGTTAGAAGTGCAAAAGTTAGGGGAAGCCTCTCCCCTTTTTCTTCTCTTTTGGGGTTGCTTCTGAAATGTGCGTTTCCCATGGCACTTGAATTGCTGCATAGTTACAGTGTAATAAACACCTCTAGGAAGGGGTTAAACACCGGAAGATATTTTACTTTCAAAAAGGTGTGGCACATAATGGTTATTTAGCAATGGCTACTGTGTAGCATTTAAGTAGGAAACTTGAGCTGACACCAACAATCTGGCAATGCAGCCTGCTCGCCATTTAGTAGTTGAGTAATCTGCGAACTACTGTAAGAATTTCATTTGTGGTTCAGCATGTTCTGATGGAAATACAGATGACACCAGCCTCTCAGTCTTTAGTGTTGATAACGTGAACAGCTATCGTAGTGTAACTTTTGATGCTCAGAACTGAATGAGTCCCACACTCCAGAGACTGAGAAACCACTGGATTGTTGGAAAGTAAAACGGGGAAGATTTTTTACTTGCCTCCTTATTTCTGAGCCTGCAGATTACCCTTGAAACATGCCTTGAATGTTTGCTCCCTAAAAGCAGGGACTGCAAACTACCTGGGAATGGGGTGGGAAAAGGAAATTGAGTTCTTGCATTGACTTATTAGACTGACCCTGAGTTTGTAAAGCACCATTGTATTGAAAAGGAGCACTGAGAAATGTGTTATGTTCTATATTCTGCCTCATCATCTCTGACAGTTTTGCTTCTTTTAGACTGTTTGCTCATGCTTGTGTACAAGGATAAATCTGAACGAGCAAAAGGGCATAAGGAGAGGAGCAGCATGACCTTAGAAGACATCTGTGGCTTGGATCCTGGGCTACCCTATGAGGGCTTGAATCACACACTTGCAATCATCTGTCTCTCTCAAGTTGTGATGCTGGGATTTGAGAACAAGGAAACAATGTATGCGTGGGATGTACGAATCCGCTACAGTTTGGG